ATATTACCAAGGTCACCCCAAAAGGATGTGACATGCATCCATAGGAACTATGTCGCAATAAATCTTATCTTTATAGGTAGTTCCAATGGAAAAGGGAACGAGAACCCGGCGAGAGACTTGAACTTCTGATCCTTTCTTCAACCAAGCGAGCTTGTAAGGGGTGGGATGATTTTCTGAATTTAAAGCCAATTTACACGGCTTCTTCAGAGGCAACATTCTCACAACTTCTCAAATCAATAATAAAATGACAAACTTTTCCATTTACCGTGCAAGTGGAATGAAAAAGACTTGTTCGTAGCCACGAATCATCAGTTGCTTTTGGAGAAAAACAACTTCGGTGAAGCACAAGTAATGGACCCGAATATCCCGAAACTTGTTCTTCCGGGATTTCTTCTAATATCTCCTCATCCCCTATGTGCTCACATAATTTTCATGCAAAATTTTAGGATCTCCCATCTCAATTCCTTCGGCTAAGAGACCACATCTTCCGGCGTTAGGGCATGCCATTTGACGATGAGCATTAGGACGAGAAGGAAGGCTTGTACCAATGGAGTCGGCGGTGGTGGCTGGACGGGGAAGCACCAGTGGAGGAGCTGTTGCGGCAGCTAGTGCAGGGGCAACAACAGGGGGTCGTGTGGAGATGCCGATGGTGGAGGTGTGAGCGACAACAACGACTAGCGAGTTCTAAAGGGAGGCACTAGATCGATTCTGTTGTTCAATTAATAACACCCTTTGATGGGCTTCAGAGACGGTTGCCGGATCAAAGAGATTCAATATATTCTGAAAATGTGGGCGTAGTCCTCCGATGAAGCGGGAAACTGATTGTTCATCAGTTTCATTCATCTCATTCCTTGTAAGCAAAAGGAAGAACTCAGTCGCGTATTCATCCACTGTCTGATTGCCTTGTTGTAAATTCTGGAGGCGTTGAGACATGGTCCATACATAATTATACCGAAGGAATGTGCGCTTCATATGCTTCTTCAATTTTTTCCATGTGGAGATCTTCTCTTTCCTGGCATGCGAACGAGAGACCTTGAGTTGTTGCCACCAAGCGACGGCTCGGCCTCAAAAACGGGTAGCGACAAGAGAAACCCTCTTATTGTCCCGGACTTCCTTAAATTCCAAGATTTCTTCAACGGCTCCAGTCGAATCCAAAAACTCTTCGGGTCTGAAACCCGACTCCCAGCGGTGGTTGTCTTCTTGACGTGGTGCAGCGACGATAGCACGACGATGAGGAGGTGCGGCTTGCAGCGGTGCAAATCGGTTCTCTTCGACGTCAGCATCTCCTTCTTCGTCTTCAGAATCTTGGATGTGATCCGGAGAGGGCACAACGCATGGAGCGGGTGGCTGGTTGTTGGCTTGAAGGGCCACGAGAATGGCTTGCTGCATGGATTGCTACATGTTCTGCTGAAATTCGGCAAGTGTTTGACGGAGTTCATCCCAATCATTGGCAGGTTGTGGGCGACGTCGGGGTGGCATGAAAGAGGAGCGTAGCAAGGTTCTGATACCAAATGACGTAGCAGAAGCATAAAAGGTGTCGTGTAATTCCGTTGATTCGCAAGAATACCGGAAAACGGAAGGCGAGTAATTTGTTGATTCCAAACAATACCGAAAAACAAACAAAGTGGAGAGAAAACTTCTCTAAAAATTTTATTATCAAATGTCCATAATGAAAATAACAAGCTATCCTCCTATTTATAGAGAACTACAATTCAAAATCGAAAAGGAAATTATCTCTAATTAATCTATATCTATCTCTAATTAATTCTCTTTCTAATTTTAAAAATAAGGAGACTCTAAACTTAGAATTTAAAATAAAGATAATCTCTTTAAATTAAAGATAAAGATTATCTCTGAATTAAAGATAAAGATTATCTCTTTCTTCTGACAGTAGGCGCTACATAAGTTTATTAATTTAAAAAAGGAAAATAACTTTTAATGTAATGGTTTTTTCATGGGCTAATGAATATCATGATGCATGATGATGTCAAGTTTAGTACATCCCAGCTAAGGGCTCGGTTGGCTTCTTTTTAAAGGATGTTTTTAGGTTATTTGAAGAAGTTATAATAGCAGGTCGGAGTGTTTGGGTAAATCATATTTTTTGTTCAGAAGGAAGCTTGGAGTAATTTGTGGCCATACAAATTATGGGATTTCTAAGAGCAAGATGATTCCCGTACCAAATTCTACTGTGCGGTCAAAGTTGCCTTATTCTAAGGATGGGAACAGGTCTTTCGTCCATTCTGCATGTAAATGTAATGTTACGACATGAGTTTAGTATGAATGTAGTAATAATGACAAAAAATAAGGATCATCATATGTAATATGTATATGGTACTTTTATTGAGAAATAAGAAAGTAGCCTCTAGAACTACACATTTTTTAATTACACTTAGAACTGTGTCTTGGCGTGGTAATACTTTTTGTTTGAATTGAATTGTTTTAAGGCAAATAGTCTTGTTTCGTATCATCTTTTAGCAATAGACAGCTTTTATGCTGAGGAGGTAAACTTTTTACTATATTTGTTGATAAACCTTAAATGTGAGTACTGGCGTGGGCTTCTCCATTCAACTGGCTCATGTACTATAAGAAGTAAAAGTTATGAGAAACGAATGACACAAGAACGAAAGTTGTAAAAAAGTATGAAATGTAGGAAAGAAAAGCATAACACGATGGAATGAAAGAAAAGAAAGCATAACACGATAGAATAAAAGAAAAAAAAACATGACACGATGAAATGAATGAAAAGAAAGCATGACACGATGAACGAAAGAAAAGAAAACATAATACGATAAATGTTTTAAATGTTTTGAAAATGTGCTAAGGTGTATGACATGAATGCATATATGGGTATGCATTACTGATTGCTCTTGTTGTGGTATGCTGTTACTTGCTAACCGAAAGCTCATCCCGTTTATTCGCGTTGTTGGAATCTCGGGTAAGGCACGGGCTCCCTGAAACCTGTTTGTTGGGCATGTAGAAAATGATGAAGCGGTGGGATGTGGGCAACTGGGAGATGGATGCATCACGTAATTTGAGTACACTGCCAAGGTTTCTAGTAAATGGTATTTATTGATGTAAATAAACTATGTAATGAAAGTAAAGTGTGTGAGACAACGAGGCAATGCTTAGCAAACTCAAGTCATACAGTGTGTTGATGTATCCAAATGCTATCATGTTAATAGTATGTGAACGACAGTGGTATCCAATTGGTAAGTTGAATGAATGATCACGCCTAGATACAGATTTTGAAGTTTTAAAAGAATTTTATCTACAAATTATTAGAATTTATTTCATTATTGAAAGAAAAAAAAAGTATCCTATATTTTAGGAGTTTATAGTTCAAAAGTAGTAGAAGTTAAAAAATGAGATAAGTTTAAACGTAGTACTGATGACTGAATAATATGAGTAGTCACATTATATGACCAAAGTAATACTATGATCACCAAGTATTATAACCCTTTTTTAATCAAATCAGAACAACACAAACAAATCCTTTCACTTTCTAGATGCACAATTCATCGACATCTGGTCCATTTTGGCTTTTAGCGAGTTTCAATGGATTACGTCTGTTTAAAAGAAAAAAAGGATAAATTGCACGAATAATTCTTAAACTCTTTAAACGGTAAGAGTTTGATCTCCAAACTTTTTTTTTGATGAAATGAATGTCAAATTATTTAAAAGGGTGTAATTTAATCCCTTCTGTCAGATACCATCTAAAAAGTAACGATACAGTGCCCGTGAGATATCACATGGCCTTATTTTGGCTGGAAAGATGAAAATGTCCTTAATTACTGTTATCTTATTCAAATATCCTCCTGGGCTGCTGCGGCTTCCTCGGATGGCAACCGCCATTGGAGTGTAGTAATCGAAGAAGAATAAGAAGAAAAGGCTGCAAAGCAAAAGGTTGTCGGTGTTGATTGAAAACACCCCAAAATAAAGGCCAAAACACATTTAGGAATTCACTAATCAATCAACTACTCTCATAAGATTTTCCCTACCGGGAACGTTAAACAACAAAATCAATAAAGTTCAAAACTTTCCATATACTCGACTTCAATTTTTCATGTTCTCAATTTTTCCAGATTTGGAATCTGGAATCCCAAATTTCCCAAATTTAGCCAAAGCCCTTTTCCCCGTCATCTTCTCCCAAGAACAATTCCACTCACCCGAGGGACTCGGAGTAGATGCAATCGGCAAACACGGCGGAGTCGTCAAGCGGCGACTGCGTGGAGTCGAGTTCAAAGATAAGACGGGAAGTGGCGGGGGAAGCGAGGACTTCGAGGTAGCGACCGGCTTCGATGGAGGCGAGGAGGTCAGTGAAAAGCGAGTGGAGAGGGTGTTGATTGTGAGCATCATTGGAGGGCGGAGGAGAAGAGGGAGAGGGAGGGAGGCTGCAGCGGAGGAGGCAGAGCTCATAGCTACGGAGAAAGATTTCGGACATGGTTGCTGAAGAGTGGAGAGAGAGAGAGAGAAAATGTGCCCCAAATCTCCCAACATGTAGTTTTATACATATAGCCAAAAAACATGGACCATGTGATATATCACGTGCATTGTGCCGTTATTTTTTGGACGGCATCTAACGGAAAGGAGTACAATGCATCCTTTTAAATGGTTTGGAGTTCATTTTGTGAAAAAAAAGTTTAAGGACTACACGGTTACTTTTTAAAGAGTTTGAGGACTATTCGTGCAATTTACCAAAAAAACATCTAATTCTTAATTTATTATTATCATATGCTAATACTGACTAAACGGTCATTAATACACACTAAATATTGGACGATGCACTTTGCCATTCGATCTGGTCCATTTTGGCTTTCTTCTTCTGTTGCTTTCAATAAAGATATTTAGAAAAAAAAAAAACTAATTCTGTCTTGATGTAGTTATTATCACATGAGAATGAATATAGTGGTGATTTGTACACTGTTATAATCAGTGGGCGATACAGTGTCATCTGGTCCCATTTTGGCTTTAATTTGGTTCTGTGCATACTGATTTCGGACATGGTTGCTGAAGAGTGGAGAGAGTTTAAATTGGTGCTGTCCACACTGATTTCGGACATGGTTGCTGAAGAGTGGAGAGAGTTTAAATTGGTGCTGTCCACACTGATTTCGGACATGGTTGCTGAAGAGTGGAGAGTGAGAGAGAGAGAAAATGTGCCCCAAATTTCCCAACATGTGATTTTATACATATAGCTAAAAAACACGGATTACGTGATATTTCACGTGTACTGTACTGTTACTTTTTAGACGGCATCTGACGAAAAGAATTATAATGTGTCCTTTTAAATAGTTTAGGGTTCATTTCGTCAAAAAAAATTTTAGAGACCACACCGTCACCTTTTAAAAACTTTGGAGACCATTCGTGTAATTTACCAAAAAAAATCTAATTCTTAATTTATTATTATCATAACCTAATACTGACTAAACGGGGATTAATACACACTAAATAGTGGACGAAGCACTTTGCCATTCCATCTGGTCCATTTTGGCTTTCTTCTTCTGTTGCTTTCAATAAAGATATATAGAAAAAAAAAAAAAAAAAACTAATTCTCTCTTGGTGTAGTTATTACCACATGCGAATGAATATAGTGGTTATTTATACACTGTTACAATCAGTGGGCGATACAGTGTCATCTGGTCCCATTTCGGCTTTAATTTGATGCTGTCCATAGAGATAATTTTGAAAGAAGAACTAAGCATATATAATGTAGTTATATTATTACATGCTAGTGAATATAATGATGATTTTTTTTCCTTTGCTAAATGAATATAATGATGATTAATACTCACTATTTAGGCGATGCACTTCGTCATCATGACGATGTTCTACTTTAGTAGACGACACACACTAATTAGTCAATTATAGTAAACGAGGCACTTTGTCATCAGAATACGTTTAATTAACGTTTGATTTATGTATTTAGAATCATGATTTAGAATTATTCTCATTTTATATGTATTTTTTATGAGAGAAAACACTGTATAGAATCATAAATCATGATTCAAAATCAAGAACGAATATATAAAATAAACGTCCCCTAATAGATTCAGATTCATAATTAAAATAACAAAATACTATAACGAATCACGAATTATAATTTGAATCATGATATTCTCGTTTAGTTACTTTAATTTCAGTGGGTTTATTAATTTAAAAAAGGAAAATAACATTTAATGTAATGGTTTTTTCATGGGCTAATGATATCATGATGCATGATGATGTCAAGTTTAGTACATCCCAGCTAAGGGCTTGGTTGGCATCCTTTTTAAAGGATGTTTATAGCTTATTTTAAGAAGTTATAATAGCAGGTCAGGGTATTTGGGTAAATCACATTTTTTGTTCAAAGGAAGCTTGGAGTAATTTGTGGCCATACAATTTATGGGATTTCTAAGAGCAGGATGATTCGCGTACCAAATTCTACTGTGCGGTCAAAGTTGCCTTATTCTAAGGATGGGAATAGCTCTTTCGTCCATTTTGCATGTAAATGTAATGTTACGATATGAGTTTAGTATGAACATAGTAATGATAATAAAAAATAAGAGTCGTATATGGTATTTTTATTGAAAAATGAGTAAGTAGCCTCTAGAACTAGACATTTTTTAATTGTACTTAGAACTGTGTCTTGGCGTGGTAATACTTTTTGTTTGAGGCAAATAGTTTTGTTTCGTATCATCTTTCAGCAATAGACAGCTTTTATGCTGAGGAGGTAAACTTTGTACTATATTTGTTGATAAACCTTAAATGTGAAAGTACTGACTTGGGCTTCTCCATTCAACTGGCTCATGTTCTTCTAGTACATTAGTTATATTAGTTATTCTTCCTAAGATAACACATAGCAGATCTTCTAGTTCTTACTCAAGCCATTTGTTACTTCATTACTGCACCCTTCATTTTTAATAATATTTAATTTAGGCTATTTTTAGTTCATTTTCTGCTAATTTACAGGGACAAACTCCATTGCTATTGTGATGTAAAAATAACATGTTGAATGAGACAAGGTATTATTAGAATGTTATCTGGAGAAATCGCTTTCTTTCAATTTTTTCAGATTATTCTTTTCATTTTAAATTCAATTCATACACTTGCTTCACCACCATTGTCTACTTTTTATTAGATTAATCAACTCTTTTTTTCTTCTTCTAATATTTATCTCTGTCTTCTTGTTCATTGTTGACTTAGATACAAGAAGTTTCCATGCACAATGGATCTCACAAAAGATTTCTATTTTAACTACTCATACCATGTCATGCGTAGTCTTTAAAAGAATTTGAGAGATTATAAGACAGAGATTTCGTTTATGAAACAATGTTTGTTTAGAATGAGTTCTTGACTCGTGAAATTCGAAATAATCTCAAGAGTACTTTATGGACAGTAGCCTTAGTGTATGGCTTCTTTAAATAGGTAACACATAACTAATTTAATCCTAATAGGACAGATTTACAGTGATTTAAATGAACGGGGAGAGTTGCTGAAATATCATGTCTTTAATATTAATAGCTCTCCACAACTTGCATATTTATATATTTATATTGAGTAGCTTTTGGTTTTGATATTACTATGCACCGGTAACTCATTTATATAAGCTATCTTTCCTATTAGCATCTTGGATGTTCTCCAATGTGGGATAATATGTGATCTATCTTTTATGATACACAGAAAGTAAAAAGAACTCAACTATTGCTCCCACACACATGCATTTACAGTGAACTAGCTTTTGACGGGGTAGTGATGGACCAAGCTTTGTTCAGTCCTTAATATGCTATTACATTTTCTACAACAAACTAGAAATGCATTGAATGCTACTTACGATTTTAATTTCCGCTATATAGGTTGATTTATCTGTAGGAGTTCAAGTTTACCCTCATTGCCAGACGGTCACGGCATTATGCAGCATCAGGTTTGGCTGCATTCTTCCACCTTAAAGTATTTGTAATTGTTTACAATGCTATATTCTTTAAATAATATGCATCTAGTACATTTGACTTCCACTAGTTTAACTGATATCAAATGTTTGTGCTTCCTAACCTGCATGTTGGTGCTTTATAGGATCGACTTTTACTATTGAGATATCAAATGTATATGAAGTCTCTATTGTAAAAGTGGTATATTTTTTGTATCTTTTAAATGCTTATTTTATCCTAAAGTATCGAAAATATGTTTTAAAGTACACGTTTATGCAGTATTGAAATTTTCTCTGATAATTCCATGAATATCAGAAATTTCACCGAATTTTTATAAAATTAGAGTACCGATATGACTTATAACGAAATCTATATTTTTGTTATTGGCTAAATATACGAACAATACATTTATTCGTACAATGCAATATTTAAGACGTGCACTCATAAAATCAAGCAAAAAACATCAAATTAAAGAATAATATCTTGCTCTAATCTATGACTAATATAGAAAGTGCAATCACGCTTTCCATTTCGACCAAAACGGCGTTTTGGTCAAATGTCCCCCCATTATTTTCCAAGTCTTTTGTTTTATTATTATTTTTTGTATTAAAACTTATATATTTTTTTATTTTGGTCATTCTTTAACCATATTTTTATTTTTCACCCTGAATTTTATTTCTTTTCTGTTTACGATCTTTTCACCTACCACTTATTTTTATTCATTTTAGTCCATTTCTCACCTTTTTTTTTTTTCACTTTTCCCCTGAAACTTAAGTTTTTTTTTTCTTTTTCTGTTTTGGTTCTTTTTGTCCCAAACTTATTTATTTTTATATTTTAGTCATTTTATTGGTTCTTTTTTTTTTTTTTTGGCTTCTCTCACTAAAATTACATTTAATTTCGACCAAAACGGTGACGTTTTTATCAAAATCTCCCCCTCTTTGTTTTTCAAATCCTTTATTTTATTTTTATTTTTACCTTAAAACTTATTTATTTTTATTTTGGTCCTTTTTTGACAGAACCTTTTTATTTTTACCCTGCAACTTTATTTCTTTTCCGTTTTGTTTCCTTTGTCCCAAAACTTAATTTATTCTTCATTTCGGTCATTTTTTATCCTATTTTGGTCCTTTTTTGACAGAACCTTTTTATTTTTACCCTGCAACTTTCTTTCTTTTCCGTTTTGTTTCCTTTGTCCCAAAACTTAATTTATTCTTCATTTCGGTCATTTTTTATCCTTTTTTTTTTATTTTTTCCCGCAAACTTTATTTTTTTCCTTTTGGTTCCTTTGCCTTAAAACTCATTTATTTTTTCATTTTGGTCCCCTTTTAACCATTTTTTGGCTTCTTGCCCTCAAATTTGATTTTTTTCACTGTCGTTCTTTTTTTGGAATTTCATAGTTAGATTTAAATTGTTTTTAATTGTAAAACAATAATTAAAACTTAACATATGGATTATTTCCTACATACATAGCATATCGGCTATGTTTTGGTCGGAACCGCCTCCCCCCTCCTCTTTTTTTTTTTCCCAATTCTTTATTTTATTTATTTATTTGTTTGTTTACCTTTTCTTTTTACCTTAAACTTAACCCCTTTTTTATTTTTTTCCTAAATTTTTTTTTTTTTTCGTTTTGGTCTCTTTTGCTCTCAAACTTATTTACTTCTTCATTTTAGTCCTTTTAATTTTGACCTTTTTTTTTTTACTTCTATCCCTAAAAGTTTATCAGTTTTTCTATTTTGTTTCTTTTTTGGGATTTTATAATCACACTTTATATGCGTGTAATAATAATACAGTAAATTAAAACTTAATACATGGATTACTTTCTATGTGCATAATACGTGGAGTTCAACGAGTAATAGGTAGAAACAATGTGTCCCTAGTTAGATTTCCCTAATCCTTAACCCAACAGAATGCTGAGAACATGCATTAATTATGTCCTCAGGTAATGGTTGATTGAATATACGCTTTGGTTCTACGTATAGATCATGCATTTGGGATTCATCAAATTCAGTTCCATGCTTGGTGGAAATGTTGCGCAAGATGACAATTCAATTTCACTTGTTTAAAGCATTTGTTTAGACTTGATTAAGGATGTGTGCCGTGTGCGCAGCCACAGAAATTTGGCGTTATGATAATGAATTATTTGACCAAAGTAATACTATGATCACCAAGTATTATGACCCTTCTTAATCAAATCAAAACAACACTAACAAATCCTTTCACTTTCTAGATGCACAATTCATGGACATCTGGTCCATTTTGGCTTAGTTCTTTATAGTAAACGAGGCACTTTGTAATCAGAATCATTTTGTCTTTATTTTGCTGCTTTAATTTCAATGGGTTTATTAATTTAAAAAAGAAAATAACTTTTAATGTAATGGTTTTTTCATGGGCTAATGAATATCGTGATGCATGATGATGTCAAGTTTAGTACGTCCCAGCTAAGGGTTCGATCGGTTGGCAACAGGATGTTTATAGCTTATTTTAAGAAGTTATAATAGCTGGTCAGAGTGTTTGGGTAAATCACTCTTTTGGTTCAGTAGCTTTTATAAACTACTGCCTGACAACAGCAAATCTTGAAAAGCAATTTAGAGATTGATTTTACACAGTAATTTCTTCTCTCATTATCAAAACACTAAGGGGTTGTTCTTTTGCAACAAAACTCAAAAAAAATTTAAACTCAAGTTACAACTTTATTCAAGTTTAAGTTCTTTTAAGTTCTAACTTTATTCAATTTTACTCAACTTTATTCAAATTATAACTTCAACTCAAGTTATAACTCAAAAACTACACTCAAGTTACACTCCAAAAAAACAAACCCTGAAATTTCTGTTTCTATAATTCTCGTTTTAAAAAATAAAAAATAAAAATTTACTAAATATTTAGTCCCCGTGATTCATTTTACCGATTCGAGTTTAAAATTCAAGTTTTAATACAGTAAAAAGCTCTTACATAAAGTTACATCTCAATTCAAATTAAAAACTCGAATTAGTAAACCAAACGAGCTCCTAGTGTTTCGATTGTGCCAACTCTAACAAACATCACAACTGTAACATAAATTTCCAACAGTGAAAAATGCCAAACTCGACCAATATCAAATCTATTGTTCTAATTTATTAAAAAAATGTTACATAAAATAAAGAAATCACAATCCAACCGTAAATGCTAACAAAAAAAGAAAATACAAAGAATTAAAATACCCTAGATATTTTTCATGCGTTTACCGCTTTAATTCGCACGCCAACTGCCCAAGAATTTCATTACAAACCTATTGAAGTGTTAGTCAATATGGGCTCAATTGTCAAAAAATATAGGCTACACTAAAAGAGAAAGTCAGAGAAAAAAAGAAGAAGAGAGAGAGAGCACTGAAAGCAGTGCTAACTTTTAAAAGTGAACCCAGTTGTTCACAGCTGATTCACGTAAATAGTTGGATTCACGTGTAGAAGGAGAGACAGATATTATAAATACGGACCTCCCCTCATTTATTTTGCATCCCAAAAATTGAGGCTATAAACCTATTGAAGAGCACTATAAATTTCTGACCACCCAAGCAAGCGTTTCAGAGAACCCAAGTCATCTCATTCAATAGAAAAACAGCCCATAATTACCAGCCAAACAACCCATAATCAATATTCCCATTCTCACATATTCAAAAACGTAACAGAAAAATGTCTGCTCCAGTTTCAGCAGTTCATGGTTCAACCGAGATCAAAGGCACACTCCAAATGGTTCGCCGATCCTCTGATTTTCATCCGACCATTTGGGGGGGCCATTTTGTCAAATATACTTCTGAGTCCTCGGTGTATATATATATGTGTGTGTGTGTGTGTGTATAAATAACTATATATGAACCTACTGCCTCACACATACATATATACATACAATGCTAACACTCACATAGACATACAAACACACACACACACACTAGCTTGATTTGACGTCCTAGCCGGACTCAGCCCTTGTTTGATCAATTTGGATCCCTGAGTAATGTTGGAGCCTCTGTCCATTGACGCGGAATAGCCTCCCATCATCTCTGATAAGCTCAACAGCGCCAAATGGAAATGCTTGTTTCACCTTGAAGGGTCCAGACCATCGGGACTTCAATTTGCCGGGAAAAACCTTCAACGAGAGTTGAAAAGAAGCACTTGATCACCCATAGCGAATGCACGTCAAGAAGAGCTTGTCGCGCCATTTTTTTCGTGCGCTCCTTATATGACCGGGAACTCTCATAGGCATCGCTCCAAAATTCTTCCAATTCATTGAGTTGTAGCAAGCGTTGCTCCCTGGATGCCTTGAGATCAAAATTAAGCTTCTTTATGGCCCAAAATGCTCAGTGCTCAAATGACAAGTTTTTCTAAACACCAAATGCTAGGGTGACATTCCAATTGGTGTCTTGAAACGTTGTCTTGCAACGTTGTGAGAAGAAGAATCTTGTGTTAAATTAAGAGAAGTGTCACATCTCTACAACTACATGCATGCGTTACACACACATAAACGTATATACCGATACACATGTGTGTATGCGTGTAATTTATTTTTCATTTCTTTTTTCTTTCATTGATGTAGGCAATTGATGTCAATACGGAGAAAAAAGTTGGAACGAGCTCCTAGTGTTTCGATTGTGCCAACTCTAACAAACATCACAACTGTAACATAAATTTCCAACAGTGAAAAATGCCAAACTCGACCAATATCAAATCTATTGTTCTAATTTATTAAAAAAATGTTACATAAAATAAAGAAATCACAATCCAACCGTAAATGCTAACAAAAAAAGAAAATACAAAGAATTAAAATACCCTAGATATTTTTCATGCGTTTACCGCTTTAATTCGCACGCCAACTGCCCAAGAATTTCATTACAAACCTATTGAAGTGTTAGTCAATATGGGCTCAATTGTCAAAAAATATAGGCTACACTAAGTCAGAGAAAAAAAGAAGAAGAGAGAGAGAGCACTGAAAGCAGTGCTAACTTTTAAAAGTGAACCCAGTTGTTCACAGTTGATTCACGTAAATAGTTGGATTCACGTGTAGAAGGAGAGACAGATATTATAAATACGGACCTCCCCTCATTTATTTTGCATCCCAAAAATTGAGGCTATAAACCTATTGAAGAGCACTATAAATTTCTGACCACCCAAGCAAGCGTTTCAGAGAACCCAAGTCATCTCATTCAATAGAAAAACAGCCCATAATTACCAGCCAAACAACCCATAATCAATATTCCCATTCTCACATATTCAAAAACGTAACAGAAAAATGTCTGCTCCAGTTTCAGCAGTTCATGGTTCAACCGAGATCAAAGGCACACTCCAAATGGTTCGCCGATCCTCTGATTTTCATCCGACCATTTGGGGGGGCCATTTTGTCAAATATACTTCTGAGTCCTCGGTGTATATATATATGTGTGTGTGTGTGTGTATAAATAACTATATATGAACCTACTGCCTCACACATACATATATACATACAATGCTAACACTCACATAGACATACAAACACACACACACACACTAGCTTGATTTGACGTCCTAGCCGGACTCAGCCCTTGTTTGATCAATTTGGATCCTTGAGTAATGTTGGAGCCTCTGTCCATTGACGCGGAATAGCCTCCCATCATCTCTGATAAGCTCAACAGCGCCAAATGGAAATGCTTGTTTGACCTTGAAGGGTCCAGACCATCGGGACCTCAATTTGCCCGGAAAAAGCTTCAAACGAGAGTTGAAAAGAAGCACTTGATCACCCATAGCGAATGCACGTCAAGATGAGCTTGTCGCGCCATTTTTTTCGTGCGCTCCTTATATGACCGGGAACTCTCATAGGCATCGCTCCAAAATTCTTCCAATTCATTGAGTTGTAGCAAGGGTTGCTCCCTGGATGCCTTGAGATCAAAATTAAGCTTCTTTATGGCCCAAAATGCTCAGTGCTCAAATGACAAGTTTTTCTAAACACCAAATGCTAGGGTGACATTCCAATTGGTGTCTTGAAACGTTGTGAGAAGAAGAATCTTGTGTTAAATTAAGAGAAGTGTCACATCGTGTGTGTATGCGTGTAATTTATTTTTTCATTTCTTTTTTCTTTCATTGATGTAGGCAATTGATGTCAATACGGAGAAAAAAGTTGGAAAAATGAAAGAGGAAGTGAAGAGGATGCTTGATGTTGCTCCCCCAAATCCTTCGGAAACCCTCCATTTGATTGATACAATCCAACGCTTAGGCTTTGCTTATCATTTTGAGAGTGAAATTACTGAAAATCTAAGAGAGATTAACAAACTAAGTCTTGAGGGACTCGATGATGATATTTATATCGTTTCACTTTGGTTTCGTTTGCTAAGCCAAGAAGGATACAATATATCAAGTGATACATTCACCGTACGTATTCACACAACAAGCTAGCACTACTACGCATATACAATTTCAAAATCAATATTCCCTACATTCACATGT